CATACAAATTTTCAGAGAAAACGTTCTAATTGCGCCAAAAACATCGATACAAGATAATTATTACGTTATAAGGTATGCATTTACTGATACATAGCACATTCAAGCAAAAAAAAGAGACATTTCAAACATCAGATAAAGTTGTCTATGGAGCAACTGGGTACAGCCCAATGTGCGGCGGAAACTTGTAAATTAATCAACAAATTTTATTCTTGTAAATATGTATACAAAATATAGTATTAATTTAATAACAGCTTATTATTACAAATAAATTTTGGATAAAATTTTTGTTTTATTTAATTTAACCTCAACGGAATGTATAACGCTACACCTCGGATTGAATTCTCATTTCATTCTCTGTAACTTCAATCTAAAACGTAAATATTGTTGGTATAAGTTTGAACAAGCAACAAGAATAATTTGAAGGCTACGATACCTACGATTTAAAAAATAGTAATTTCTAATCGATATTTATTAATTACGAAAAATTACTAGTATCGACTAATAATTTAGTTATCTGTTTTTCAATATTTTTCAAAGAGTAAAAGCATGAAATTCCTTGATATGTTTGTCTGTCTGTCTGTCAATGTCATATTGCTTTGGCGTTGGCGTGTTCATCTAGAATAAATTACTTCTAAAATAATTGGAAAATAATCATGACAAAGTGAGATATCGCATAAAACAACAATTATTTGTTAAATCAGTTTCATCTAGCTTGAAGTATATCCTTATTTCATTCATTTAGGTAAGCCATTTTAATATTCAAGTAAGTATCTTCAAAGCAATGCCATCACTGTCGAAAGTTATGAAGTAGTCAATGAAATGTATTTCGACGATTAAGTTATTTCAGAGCGCAGTATATTCCAGGAGGACACCGAAGTTCTATCGCCTACTATTTAGTACGGCTTTGTAAGAAACTGCAGTCTGTGACATTATCAGAGTGAGTTTCTCGCAATACCGTTTCGTCCTCGCGGTGATCTTCTTTTTTGGTGAATATTGAAATGGTGAAAATCTGCACAGGGCGATGGTAAAAACCCAATTGTTGTTGTACATTGGATTTTTAATGCCATCGTTATTTGCGGATGATCTTTCAACTCCTTGTCTCGTTTAGTCATTCACAAAGGAGGTGGTCGGCAGTTCTGTTACTTTCGAAGAACAAGATACCAAGTATATGTATGAACTTTAGTTATAGTTTAATGTTAAGTGTTAAGTTAATTAATATATTATATTATATAAACATATTTAAATTAAATTCAATTTAACTTTGTGAATAATCCAATAGTATATTTTTTATACATAAATATTTATCAGATCAATTTATTGCTAAAAGTGTTTTATATTACTCAACTTTAATGGTAATGTATACCAAAAAATTTACATCTTGATAGAAACTATGGAAACAAATAACAAGATTCTATGAAACATTTCTTTATTAGTAGTGCAAGTTCTTTTTACTTCATTTAATATATTCCATATAAGAATATGCTTATTATATAGTTATTTATTGTAATATATTTTATATTTTCTTTAATATGACATGTAATTGACAGTGCAATGTTAGGGTATTATTACTAGTGTTAAATGTTCCATGGTGTAAACTATTTTTAGGTAGGTAATATGGAGGCGGAATCAATTACGGAACCCCAAGCAAAAAGGCAGAAGACGGAAGTGGAGAATGTAAATGAAACAATACCAGAGATATCAAATGATATAGATATTACGAATAAAGTTCTTGATCCTGATACATATACGAATTTTGTGACACCCGAAGAATTAGAGAGGTTACAGGAATATAAAGTTTTAGATGAAGTTAAATCAAATGATGAAGATAGTAATGACGAGGAATCTGAAAGTTCTGATGGTAGTTATCTATTTTTATTTTTTTTATAATATAAGGTGACAAATGAGCAAGCGGCCACCTGAATCCACTGAAATGGAATGCGACCTCTGTCCATAAATATCCGCAAATGCAGATGCATTGCCTACCCTTCATTGACTGAGATGCACATAAAGAGGACATTTCCCCTTCCTATGTTTCCCCGCCACTGTAAAATCCACTTTTCCTTCTCATCTCTTCCTCTTAAGAAAAGTGTGGATAAAATAATATTTTTGATTTGCATGTAATTATATATAGATTTCATTCAATTGTTGAATATTTCTATAGGAGCATACGGAAACCTGAACTTTAACTATTCCATAACTGTTAATTTGCATTAACATAGAACCTCAATAACTCAAAGCTTGGTAACTTAATAACCTTAATAACTTCAAAAAGTAATATGTTCCCTTCCTATCAGAGCTTAATATCTCTACAACATAGACCCTTGATAACTTAAAAACTCTATAACTTAAAACATTTTGTGTTTCCCTTGGACTTTAACTTATCGAGGTTCTACTGAATATGGCTGTCATTTATGATAGTTTCTGAGAATAAATTAAAATTACAAATATAATAAGCTTCCTTTCTATTAAATTCAATTATAATTGCATGAAGAATTTTTATTAAAAGAACTAAATGTTATTAAGAATTTGTCAATGATGTATACTTTGTAATGAATTTCATGTCATCCAAGGATATGTAATAAAACTTTTATAGGTAAAGAAGATCTACCCGATGAGGAAATAGAGAAGATGCTTGAAGAGGATCTACCTGATGGTTTCAAACGCGCGCCAAAGCCTAAAGAAAAGCCATATGTGACAAGACAGAAGATTGTGTTACAAGGTTGGTAACATTACAAATTGTAATTTGTTAAGGACCTGTCCCACCAAATTGTAAATTGTCTGATAACAATCCAACATGTAAAATATATGATGGAAATATCGGATTTTGTTTCCTTATGTGACAGTGACGTCATTTTTAAGCTATCTGAGCCTCTATCAGCTGGTGGTGGGACAGGCCCTTAATATTTTTTATTATGACACCATAAAACTGCTGTTTAAAAATGTTTAAACCTAGCAAACAAACTACCAATTAATGTATATAAGTAAACTAGCGGTCGTACGTGACTTCGTCTGCGTATAATACGCAATATGCATATGACGCCAAATTATACCAAACTTTTTTTAAGTATACTTTATTACTATAAAAACATTCCTGAAAAGTTTTTTTTTTAATATAATGTGATTTAGTGGCAAAATTAAATCATTAAATAGTGTCTTTTTTCAAATATCCTCGCTAAGTTCTAAAACGCACACTATTGGTCGAATTTATAGCAAGCAGAATTGTTTAAAAAAGAATAAAAAATACATGCATATTCCCTATTAAACAAAAGATATTTTTAAAATTTTTGCTAACAATCAAAGTCCTGTTTAAATTAGTTGAGTTATTTTCGAGATTACTAAAACTAATATTTCATGTAGCAATGCAAACGTATTCACGAAATATAAACTTTTCCCCATATTATACGTATTATTATTATTTTGGGTGACACACTAGCAGCACTGAACACTAAGACTAGCACTATGTATGTATTTTTTCTATCCAAATGTCATTAACACACTCCCTGCCACCAACTCTGGTGCCATAAAATCTCATTGAATGTGTTAAAATTTATTACAGAGAAGGGAGTGAATCATTTCGAAGTGTTGCCGCTGGATTGGATGATGGTACGTCATTACAGTGGCATGCCGATCTACATGCACCGCACCACGCGCGTCTGTACCCTGTCTAAGCCTTATTTCTTAGGGAAGGGTAATACCAGGGTAAGTACATTGTCAAACGTAAATAAGAATAATCAAAACAGTATAAAATGTAATATGCAAAACTATTTGTAAAAAGATGACAAGTGATGTATATTTCTTTTTTTTATACTCTTTTTTAAACATGAATATTGTTCAGGTCTCATTCAGTATATTAAACTTAAATTTTGCCCCGGTTTTACATTGGTTTTTTTATTCATACTAATATAAAAGAGAAAGTTTAGATGGATGGATGTTTGTTAGAGTTTCTAGCCTAAATGGCTGAACGGATTTCGATTAAATTTGGCATAGCTATAGAGGTTAGTCTGGAAGAACACATGGGCTACTCACTTTTTTAATTCCACGCGGACGGAGTCGCGGGCGAAAGCTAGTCTTTTTATAATGTTAAATTGCTTAGGTATTATGCAACCTTTTTATTTTTAGTTGTTGTACCTGATTTAGTAGTTTTTGAGTTAATAGCTTATGTTAGTGATATTGTAGTTTAGTAGTGGCAAGAATATTTGAATTCTATTCAGTAGTTTTTGAGTTTATGATACAGAAATACAAATGTTTCCTCTCTGTTATAGTTTCATGAATAGTTTAATTGCTTGCTTTTTTCCTGCTTTTATTTAGTACATGTATATGTTTTCAGTTAATTAATAGTATATAATTAAGTTATAAGCGCCAATAGCTTAATGGTTTGGGGTACGGACTACCGATCTTGAGGTCGAGGGTTCGAATCCCGCCATTGTCGTGAACCATATCCTAGCACAAGCCTAGAGCTTAGTTGGCATGGTTAAAGGAAATATTGGTAAATTAACAGTAATCTACTAATATTTATATTAAAAAAAGACTTATGTCGAAATGTTTAAATACATAGTATTAGTTTTGTAATTCATATAACTGATTCAAAATGACATTATTTTAAAAATATTCCAGAGACACGATATACCAATCAGTGCTATACCCTGTCTATCATATAGGACAGCGTTAGAAGAAGAACAGAAACAGAAAGAAATAGATCAAAAGATACAAGAGCAAATCAGAAGTGGTTCCTGGGCTAATGTTAGTCAAACAAACTCTTGCGTTCAAGAAAATCAAACTGAAAAAGACAATGAAACAATAGTTAAGAAAGAAACTCAAATCGTAGATATGGATAATGTAAAAATTGAAAGAAATGACGAAGAATATTCTATCAATGGTAATAAAATTGAAGCATTCGAAGTCGAAATAAAAGGAATTAAAGTCAAAAGTGACGCAGAATTATTAGCTAAAGAAATCAAAACTGATGAAAATCAAGACGAAAATACAGACTTATCACTAAGGTGTCCATTTATTGGCCAGAATGCTAACGAAAGTACAGAAACGCAAGTAAATGAAGATATACCGTTAAGTAGACAGCCGGTAGTGTTGCCAGGAGGTATAGTGATGCCACCACCGAGAGTGGAATCTGTAAATTCCAGTTGGAAAACGCAACATCTGACACCGGAACAAATAAACGATTATTGTAAACGTCTCTTCAAGTTTAGAACAGTAAATATAATGCATTTCAAGTGAGTTTTAGAATACGCATATTTTAAGTTGATAATACAGAAACGAAACAGTGTTATTGTAAGAGTAGCTGTTCCCATGCGACTTTATCCGTGAGATAAAAAAACTATATTTTATTGTTTACATTCCCTAAGGCTCTGTCCCATCACTGGCTGATAGAGGCTCAGATAGCTTAAAAATGACATCTATGTCTGTATCTGTAACATACATATAATAACATTGGTATTTCTGTTTGTGATATCAAAAAAAATCCAGTTTTCGGTAAGATGATGTATTGCTGATTTGCATTGCTGGTAACGAAAATAGTATTAAAAAATTTTTGTCTATCTGCCATTTTTCCGGGTAATCTCCGAAACGGCTGAGCCGATTTCGACTGGACTCTCACTGAAGGATAGTTTTATTTTAACATTGCGTGGACGAAGTCGCGGGCAACAGCTAGTCTTACATAACAAAGATAGATGACTATGTGTTTATCAGGTGTGAATCTAATATGTAGCGTTTACTTTATGTAATTAATTTTTGTAGCCGATGGGCGGATCGCCGTAAGTATACAAAAGCCAGGAAGACACTGCAGTATCCCACATTGCCCGAGGGAACTAAACTCATCACCATACCAGCGCAGAACACGGGCACCGAGAATGGTATGTTATAGCACAAACAAGTTTTTTTACCATCTTCTAGTGTCCAATATTTATATAATACTTGCTTTCACCCGCGACTCCGTTCGCGTGGTATTAAAAAAAACATAAGTGAGTAGTCTATGTGTCCTTCCAGACTATCATCTACATCTATACCAAATTTCATCAAAATCCGTTCAGTAGTTTAGGCTATAAACTCTAACAAACATCCATCCATCTAAACTTTCGCATTTATAATATTAGTATCATAAAATACCTTTTTAATTGTTTTATGTGCTCCAAACTTTGACCTGTACAGTCTAACTGGCTTGTACAATCAGGGAATTTGTTGGTGTTACACATTAAAGCTAAAGTCGAGTTCCTGTGGTAATGTGACATGTAGGTAACAAGGCGGCGAAACGCGACTGGGTGATGAACATGAACGGGCGCTGCTACCTCTCCGTGTTCCACGAGTACGTGTACCGCGCGCTGCAGAAACAACCTGTCTACGAGTTTAAACAACTCGGTGAGGATAATTTATTCTTTTGACTATAATGTTGCAATATTTCTTTACTTTTCACAGTGATTCTAAAGATAAAACAAATTAATTAAATATGGTTTATAATACAACTAACTGTTACCGTGCCGCTTCATCTGCATGAAATTGTGACAATTTTATTTTATTGTTTACATTTGTTAAATTATCAATAGCAAATGTCAAAATGACATGACATTACAAACCTTGGCAATCTTGCTTCCTTGATGTTAGCATCAACTTATGATATCTTTCTCACATTAGGGTTTTTATCCAAAATGTTTACCCCCTAAGTTTAATTATGTTATAATATATAGCCTAAAGCGTGACGTAAGTGTAGGGCTTTTTATTAGAAAAAGAATTATTCAAAAGTATGTTGTAATTGCTGACATC